GCTCTTAACTGATGACAATATATGGTGTATATAAATAAATTATAAACAAGAACAAATAAACCAACACACTTGACGCATAAATAAAGCAGAAAGTGTAAAATGTCACATAACAAATATTTTCACCCATTCAATTTCAAATATTTTCGTATGGCTGTGACCAATACATACAGGCGTGTTGAGTAGCACTAAATTATAATTTAGAATTTTTATGAAAGTTTTCTTGCCAAAACAGGGCGACCACGTGCCCGACACACACACCCTTACAAATTGGTAATGAATATATTTAAATTGGCGCTAAATACCTAATAGAATCCGTTAGTCTAATTTATGATTTGTTGTTATGTTTTTTACCCCGCAATGGGTACATTTTTTAGGTTATATTTCAAACTATAAACAATACAAATAGGCGACCACCATTAAACGATAATTATTTGAACCCTTGAACGTTATAAGGCATATTGCCTCCAACGTTAGAACTAATTACCAGAAAATTCGACCATATATGTATGTATGTACATGTATACATATGTATATAATATAGCCATCAAAAGGCTCATTGTGTTCGCCAGTATATTTCAGGCTTTCGTCTCATTTCTATGAGAAGAAATACAATGTTTTATTGCATATACATATATATGTATATTGTATGTATGCATGTATGTACATCGTGAGTGATTTAAAAAATTTCGTACAGGCCATATAAACACCGGAAATAAAAGAAGACACGGAAAAATTCGCTATGGGAAATCCGGACAATAGACCAATTTGTGGCTCCACACACAAATCAACGAAAACAAAATTTCATGAATTGGGCTCCGAATTGCATCCAACATATTCTCAAGATCAAACCCCCAACGACATTTCCCTAATCGCTGGAAATGAATTGTCGAGACTGAAGCCTATTTTAAAGCACATGACCAATCGTACTATAAAAAGTTTGAAGATTACTAGAATAGGCCTATTGATGTCAACCATGATGAATAACAAAATCGAATTTAAAAAAAATCCTATGTGTGTATATTTGTAGTACCTATGAAATTACACTGAACCACATTTTTATGTATATATACATTAGAGTGGAGCGAAAAAATTTTTTTTTTGCTTAGTCTAGGGGTAAAATCTGTAAATAATAAAAAAGGAAATTTTTGGACAAAAAAAAAATCTTTTAACACCTAGAGGCGACGCACTCAGTTTTAAAGTAAATTTCGAGTTAAAATTTTTTTTGGACAAAAAAAAATAAGTTTTGGCTTAGACTCTTCACGTTTATATAAAATATTATATATTGAATTTGACGGTTTTTGACTCAAAATTTATTTTAACGCTTAAGGAAAACATGTGATCATTTAAGATTGGCCAGTAAGATTACTCTCCACAGCTTCTAGAAATTCCAAAAATTTTCTTTTCTTATAATCTACAGATTTTACCCCGGCTAAACAAAATAAAAATTTTTTTTTCGCTCCACCCTAACATATGTGTATATACAATATCCTAATCATCAATAAGTATTATTTAATTAATACTTCGCTATTTTGATTTGTTTATCGTTAAAATCAAAGAATATGTGCTGCATGCCACATGTAATTAACTCAATTATTTTTGTGTGGTGCTCCTACATACATACATTCATACATACATACACACATACATATGCATCTAAATTGAAACGAAGGAATCACAAAATTCCTACAATTAGACCGCACAGAATGCGCCTATAGACTCACAAAAATTAGACTGCTACTCGAATCTTCTTATTTACGATGACGCACATTCCACATTTTTATTGGCAATTGAAAAAAATGTTTGAATTTTCATAAACATACATTCATAAACACCAGCAGCACAACAAGTACAGGCTTATGAAACAAATGGTATATATTTGTATGAGCATTTATACGATTAACTACAAAAGGGAATATGCGTCCACATTTATTGCAGAGACAGGGTGTTCAAATATAAGCAACTGTATTTAAATTACGATTTTTGGCACACCTCCTCTTTTCGTTCTCGAAATCTATTTAGAAATCGATATCTTCATCTAAAGGAATGAGGCCAGTCTAGAACCCACAAAAGGTCGATTTATTCTGGGATTAAGAAAAGGGGATTCGAATTTCTCTCTTTCAGGTTTTATTAAACATCTATTGTATTTAAATGTATGCAAATATTCTTATGTTGACATTTTGATACAAAATGGCGGCTGATGAGCAAATTTTAAAATAACTTTTTTCTAGAGAGCCTCTACTAGCGACAGTGATTCTCTTGAAATCTGACAAAAAAAGAAACGAAATCTTAATATACGTAAAATTTGCTAGTAAAATACGTACATATGTATGCATGTTATCAGTTAAACATCAAATTTTAATAAAATGTCGAGTATTTTTATATTAAATTTTTGGCGAAAATCTTAGTAGAAAATTCAGTTTCGACAAAAGTACGTTTAAAGTTGGACCTTAGCACCTGACTGACCCAAACGCTACGATTCTACAATGAATTGGAAAGGAATTTTTTTTTTCACTATTCGACCAATTGAAATAGGCTTTTAAGAACCTTAAGTGTACTTTAAGCCAAAAACAAGAATCGATTGCCGCCAATTTTTAGACCGATTGTGGCGTGTTCTTATAGTCCGACTCTAAAAGTTCCCATATGTTTTAAGCTACCTCAGAACTCACGATGTACTTTCGGGTATTTAAAAGTTACACGCACCTCTTATAGAAATTTTGCTATCTAGTGCAGAGTTAACTCAAAACTGTGAATCTACAATATCTACACACCTAGTATATGTATGTAAGTTTGTACGCTGTTTTACATAGTTCTCCATTTTTAGCTAGCTTATGGCACTTTTAGATTATTTAAATTCTACTACAAATAAATGTAAAATAAAAATAGAGGTAGCAGCTAAAAGAATGATTAAAAGTTCTCCAATTTACACCACTAAATCATTCGTTACATTAATTAGATCAGCAAAGATAACTGGTCATCCATTTCTTGTGAAGGAAATATCCTAAGAAGATTTTTTTGACCTCAAAATATTACTGTATGACATGAGTCCTTTCAATATGGGACAAATTAAGCTGTCTGTAGTGAAAATCCCACAAGTTCAACGGGATTCACCTAGCTCTGTTCTTTTAAAACATTTTACACTGAGGAACAATTTAGGGAAGCAATTATAATTAAATCTAAGAAAAAGCAATATAGAATAGTTGACTTAAGCAAAGCTTACCACTTTAAAATTGGGATTGTAAATAATAAAAGAGAAGATATAAATGTATTAATTAAAAAGAACCTATTCCGCGGTTCTATTAAGAGAACAAATAATTTTCTTATGTTTTATTGCAATGCATTTAATTGAATTATATTTTTAGTGAAAACAACATAAAAGTAAAACGTTCTTACATACAGCGATTGGCTTTTTTTCTTAGCAATATTACCACATTTAACTTATGACAGCGAAATTTCTTTATATTTTTCACAAATAACGTCATATATCAAAGTAGAAAACGGGTATGCACAAGAAAAAGCTTTAGTACACCCATTTTAGTCCATTTATGCTCGGTATTTAATTTAAATATTACATGAAACTAGTTTATTCAATAAACTTATGGTGTTTTTCTATGTTTGCTAAATAAGAGATAATTAAAAACTTTAAACTGCTCTCCTGAAAAATCGATTTTATTGAGTTATGCCACTATTCATGTAAATGAGCGATATGTATATACATAGTTATTTTCCGATTTCACAGGAAATTAGAAAATTACTCATTATTTCATCTAATAATACAAAAAAAAAACCAAATTAGGCAAAGTTAAATTAAATTTACAATAATCTCCACAAACAAAGCCACCTACAAGTGCTTTCCGACAGTTAAATTACGAAATCAACGAGAAACACTCATAATCCATCTTCATCAATCGCTCACACCATCGAACAATTCCAATTCATCAACCGTTCAGCTATTTATTTAACTAGGGGGATATGCGAGTGCGTATGTACGTATTATATATGAGTGTGTGTGTTATAGGTAAAGAACATACTTAAATGCTAGAAAGCAAAATACAATCAATATCTGGCTAAGAGCTTTTGATGAGCCAAAAGATTTCATTATTTGGCATTTCATTGGCACTAAGTACCGTTTCCTAACCACAGGACAAGCAGGCAGCACAAATTGCTTTGGCATAAAATAAAAATGATGATGAGTTATTAATAAACATCAACGTAGCGTAGAAAACTTAATTCTAATTTATTTAACGCACACAAAACGAAGCCACAATAGATAAGAATGTGAACGAAACACTGAAATGAAAACATATTTATCTACTCCTATTTTACATAAGTACATATGTTCTTGTATGTATGATGAATTCAAACTAGCCAAACAAATTATGACCTCAAAACCATTGCTTTGACAGCGATATTAAACATTTTCCGAGTGATTAAACTTTCAGCAATGAGGTTATGGTAATTGCAGCAGATTGTCATCAAACCATTGGTCGTAGATGTCAAATTGACTTGTAAACTTGAAGAAAAGTTAACCAATGATTTATAGGTTAATATTGGATTCGGGATAGATATTTATTAATTAGCATTAATTGACTCAGAATGGCAAAAGGTATACAGACACATCTGAACATTTTTTCGAATTTATTTTTGAATTAATTGACATTTTTTAGATTATTTTGTTAATGAAGTTACTAGAATCAGAACTCTGATTTATTTACAACTCTACATATTTAAAGCGTGGTCCAAAAACCAATGACGAAACATAATACCTAATGAAACCAGCAATTGAGAAAGTCTGCCGTTTTGAATCATTTGTGATTGCTCTCGAAATAGGTGTTTTTTCAGAAATCTATAGGTTAATTGTTCTGTAGACCAAATAATCGAAGACGGTTGTTGCCTACAGACATAAAACCAGTTGATCAGGGCAAGGATGAACCCATCAGTAGCCTTAAGTTAAATTTGAATTTGATGATAAATATTCTTATTTATATTATTTCTTATTTCAGGTAAAAATCTGGTTTCAGAACCGTCGAACCAAGTGGAAGAAACAGGATAACATCACAAACTCGGAAGTTGCCGAACACAAAACCACAAATACTTCTAAAAATTCAAGTGATAACAGCAAAACGTCGAACGGTGCTGCCACAACGAGCTCCACTAGCACCACTACCACACAAGCAGCGGAAACAGCAAGCAAAAAATCACAAAACCACCACCACAACAACAATGTCCAAAACAATAACTCCGCAAACGGTAGCACCGAAAAGGGTCGTTCCACTGCCACGACTGAAATGAGCGCCAAATTATCTGCGAAACAAACGACAAAAATAAAGAAACAGCTGAGTGCGTTGCTGGAAAAAACCACAAAGAATCCTACGACGCCGTCTGTCAACAGCAATAGTTCGGTCCTGATCAATGGAGGCGGCGCGAACAGTACTAAACCAACAATGGTGAGTGGCAGGGATAAAGCGAGCAGCAACAATAGCACAGAAAGTGCTCATCAACATCCGCAGCATAATCACCAACACCATCCCCACCGGATTCACCACTCGCACTCGCTTCCTCATCATCGACAACACGCCATACCGCTGACCGTTGAACCGGCAGCGCCATTGGAACAGACCGAGAAACTCGAAATAAAATTGGAAGAGTCACCGCAACACCGCGAACTGCAATTAAGCATATTGCGCGCCACCACCAATCATAGTCCTCTGCAATTCAGCGACATGGATTTCGAGAGCAAATTGGCAGCATCAAAAATATCGAATGCGCTGCTCGGCTCAAAAATGAATGCCGATAGAACAGAAGAGGCAAGACGACGCAAGAGCAGTAGCGAGGAAATTGACTTGCAACACGCAACAGGAAAGGCACGAGCTGAGAAACTTTTAAAAATGGAGGAGGAGGAGGAGGAGGAGAAGGAGATAAAAGAAACAGACTTGGATAGGGAGATGGATGTAGCGCGAGAAATAGATGAAAAGTCACCAGTCGTAGATGAGGACGAATTCAAAGAGCATATGGAGGAAGATACCGAGATGCACAATATCAAAAATTAAAACAAAGGAGAATGTATATCAGAATATTTTATGGAGAGATCTTCCAGTATGAACTGTGCCAAAAACTGAACAAAATGGAATTTCTAGAAATTTAATTTTAAAATGTGTCTGAATTAAGTCATATGAAGAAGCTCAATTACTGCAAGAGTATACTATTTTAGTTATATACATGTACATATACATGTGTTTATTATTGTTAATAATGTATTTAGATGTTAAACAATTAAGGAGCAAAATGCATAAAACCAAATCAATTGAACAAACAATCGAATTATTTAATAGTTTTAACTAATGCTTATGCTTATTGTAATTATAAATTCGCTTTTCGTATGCAAATCCGCAATTATTGAACTAGGATAAGGAGAAACCTAAGGACGGGCAATGATTGCTTTAGTGTTGCCATAAATTCAAGGAAAAAAATAAGCAAATTAAAAAACGAATGAGGGGTATAAAGATTTCGAATGTGAGATGAAACGGAAATTACCGTAATGTGGGTATAATGTGATAAATGAATATGTGAAACGAACAACTAAACGTATACGAAAGAAATTCAAATGCACGTATATTAATGTCAGAACGAATGTAAGTAATTATACGAGTAAGTAAAATATAAACAAAATGCACTTGCCCAAATACATTCTTGCAAGTCCATTTGCTGTTAATTTCAATAAAAACAAATCGTTTATCACATGCGTACACAGTTTATTGGTCGTGTTTACAAACAATGAATGTAATCAATTACATTATTCACACTTTAACTATTTATTGAATGTACAAAACAGGAGCATTGTAAGCTTAGCTATGCGAAAACACAATACAATAAAAATATAATAAAAATTAAACATAATGAATAAATAGATATATTAGATAACTATATGGGTATATCAACAACACCATCGGCAGTAATTAAGAACTCAGCTACTTCGTTTGGTGTCTCGGGTGAGTATACGATTTCAAATCGACGCACTGTTAACAAGTCTCCATTGATTTTCACTTCTTTCGGAACTTTGGAGAGCTTTAGACGCGTGCGCCCCAAATGTGCCCACGCTAAACCCAAGCAGGGTGTTTCTTTTCCCACATCACTCACTGTAGCAACCTTAAAGTCCAAAAACATTATTTCGTTAAAAATTTAACATTTCTATTTATGTATGTTACTTGGTTCACACAAATCACCGCACAGTTGTATTTGTCAACGTTATGCAACAAGTGATTTGCCAATTTGCGCATGTCCCGAGCGCGCTTGATATAGTTGTTGTAGGTGCGAAATATTGCTGCCACTGAGTCTATTATAATAAGGCCAATATTAAATGATTCCATTAACTTTGCCAAACGCACACCAACACATTCTAATAGGTCACTCTGAAACATCGATTAAAAGTTAATAAAATGTAATTGTAAATGTAAATGATTACAGTAAAAAATTATACTCGTATTCAATAATCACATACCGCTTCCAATACATGTTCTATATAAATATTTCCCATATAGTTGATACTAACTTCAGGAAAACGCTTTTCAAATACTTTCGACAACTGAAACAGACGCTTAGAAGGAAAAGAATCTTCAGTACAAATGTAGGCGACTGCTTTATTCAATCCACCCAAATCAGTGGGAAGTTGTACTGTTAGAGATAATTGAAGCAGTAATTGCGTCTTTCCAACCCCTGATGCACCACAAATCTCTGTTATGCCACGCGTCACGATTCCACCACGCAAGCAATGATCTATAGCTGTGCAGCCTGTCGTTATGTGGGACCACTTCGCAAACAATGGCTCTTGAAGTAATGCTGATGCTAAATCAATGGTAAAATGTATTTATAATATTTTTCAAAATTAAGGAGTTTGTTTACCGGGCTGAAAAACGACTTTTGCAGCTGCATCCTTTAGCATACGGATATCCGCTTCCGGACATTCTTGAAAAAGTTTCGACTTCGTGAAAGGACCAGGTTTTGCATATTGTACAGGATGTCTAACTTTTTTGGAAGTATTTGGACTACTTTTTTTATGAAAATCAGCTAATTTTGGACTTCCTGCCATGCCTTATGATAAAACATACTTTGCACCAGAGATAAACTTTGTACAGAACAAATCTAAAACTTATTGACCAAACAAACTACCCAAATTTAATTACGCGGGTTATTGAACACCTGTAAGAGAGTTGCCAGAGCTCGAATAAATTTACCATGTGTACTCCTTATTATTATTCGTTTAACATCGCTTCATTTACATACATATAATCTAAATTGAAGACCTGATCATTGTATAAATCTACTAGGATTATACAATGGACCTGATTCAATCATGTAAGGTTGTTTTCATCGTAACATCTCATACCATGGTTGTTATACTAAAGTGTGTGCTTCTTCTTACGAAAATATGTTTTAATCGTCAATGTCAAATAACTTTTTTTATATTTTCTAACAAATTTCTTATTTACATTTTGTAGAATTTGTGTGCTTTTTAATATAATTGAATATTTTACTCAAAAACTTTTTTTTTACATTCTGATTTATGATTTAACTAATTGAAATAAAACCGAGAGGTCGGCTTTAGTATACCATTCCACGATTTCAGGGTTAAGAGGGGTATGGTTGGATAGAGAAGATTTTCCAGATCACGAATATATATAACTATTGCCCCGGGAACTTATAGTTTTCGAGATATTTGCATTTTAAGTTGAAAATTTCACAAATTTTATCTTACAATTTCTCTATTTATATTTATTTTTTCTTTTATATTATGCACTTATTATACACTTACACTTCACTAAAATGTTTCTACATATTTGTTTTATATTAGTTATTTTAATATTTGTTTTAAATAAACATTTTATTTTTACACAATATTTGTGTATGCACAATAACAAATGGGTTCCATATTGACAGATAATAAGTGTTGCTATAACCAAACGAATGAAAGCAATCAAAATAAATAAAACAGCCAATTACCCCTTTACGAATTTAATATAGAAAAATTAATAGAAGGCAAAACAGCTGATTTTGACATTATTAAGTTTTGACGAATTGTTGTTTTTGGTTAACTGGCGACTTATCCTTATCCAGAATGTAGAGAACTGATTTTATCAAACGCTATGCCTTTTTAATTGGACTGGGTTAAACGAAGTGTTATAATAACAGGAGAACGCACAATAGACACCAGGTCGCAGTGCATTCCTCAACTTTCAGTCTAATTCTATCATACCCGCATCCTTATATTAATGAATAATTATTGATTTTATTGATATAACTATTCAAATAAGAAAATTATTATAATACATCTATGTTTTATAATTAAGATGGTAGTTTTCGTGGTTTGATCCTGATGAAGAACTTATATTTCACATATTGACCTACCAAACATACATGGCACTTGTTTAAAAGTTCAATGTATTTAATCACTTTAATGAGCCTTATGTTAAACAAATGCGTATTATTTAGCGATAATTTGTATTAGTATCACATATTTTCAAACTAGAGAAACGAACATTTAATTGATGTACAAGTTTTCGGTTTTATTTACATCGCGGCTTTTCGTTTGCGATGGAAACAATCTAAAATATAAATCTTACTGAAAAGAATAACTTAATGCTTTGGAGTTGGTTTGGACAGTTCCTCTAATGCACGAACCTCAGCTGCTGCCGCACGCTTTTTCTCTTCAGCCAATTTGGCATCACGAACGACCTTTTGCTGGGCTTCAATCTCACGAACTTTCTCTTCCTTTTTGGACAATCTGTTCTGATGGAAAGCTCCATAACCAACGCCGACTAAGAGCAATGACCAGCGGCCGAATTTGATTAAAGGCGATACACGTACTGGAGCCTGCGACATTGTGATTGCGTATTATGTAATTGGCTTTCGACCACAAAAATTCTGCAAATTATATTAAATAAATTTGTGATAGTTTATTATCTCTCTCAACAATAACTCAATAATGGCTGATGTATAACGATGTCAAAAGAGTTACATATTTTTATTTAATGAAATATTTTAAGAAATTACCAATTCACAGTACTCGCGAATTTCTTCAGCAGATAAATCCAATGGAAAGTCGTAACCTCAAAACTGTCAAAAATTGACAGCTGGAAGCCGAAAAGGAATGTCAAAAGACGGTGCATTTTTTGTTCAAAAGGCGTTGCCATATAAATATAATTTATAACATCAGATATATTCAAAATAAAATTTACTAATCTGCAAAATATTTTAATAGTAGGGGAACAATATTTAACTAAATTTATTTGAATTTAAAAAGTGGAGTATTTTTGCTTTTTAATATCTGTTTGTATCCGAATTTTAATGCTTTTAAATATCTCTTTATTCTCGGTATGGCAATATGTTTCCTTCCACGTTAACCTCGAAGTAAACAGCTGCAACGTCAGTTCACATAGAAATAGAATATATTAAGCAATTTTGTTTGTTAATTGTTAAGTCTGATTCCAACGTAAATAATAAAAATGAGTAGAAATTACAAGGAGGATCAAGCGAATGAAATAGAGGCGCTTGAATCTATATACTACAGCGAAATGGAAGGTTTGTACATGGGTCTACCAGAGAGTTGTAAAGCAACAGATCGTCACATTTGTTTTTCATTTCAGTATTGGAGACAGAACCTAGTCACAAATTCAGTATAACTATCGGCACTGAGGAGTACAATGCTGAAGAGGAGTCAGGTGGTATGGCGTGCAAACTCGTCTTTACGTATACTCCTACTTATCCAGACGCAACTCCCGAAGTAGCAATAGAAGATCCTGTTAATATAGAAGAACTTTACGAAGAAAAACTACTTGAACACCTCAAAAAGACAATTGATGAAAATATAGGCATGGAAATGGTTTTTACATTAGTTAGTAGTGCGCAGGAATGGCTGAACGAACGCTGGGATGACTACAAATTACATGAGGAAGAAGAACGCTCACGGAAACTGTTAGAGGCAGAAGAAGCTGAGCGAAAGAAATTCGAAGGCACTCGTGTAACTGTCGAATCGTTTCTTAAATGGAGGGTAGAATTCGAAGATAGCACTGGCATAACAGCTAAACGAGAAAAGAACAACGACAGCAAAAAACTGACCGGCAAAGAATTATTCATTCGCGACACCACCCTTAACGATTCTGATATTAAATTTTTACTTGAAGCTGGTGACTCAATTGAAAATGTAAAAATTGATGAAACGCTATTTCAAGATATTGGCGATTTGGAGCTGGGTGATGACGATGACTCTGATGATGAGGATTGGGTGCCAGGCGCCGATGAATAGGTTAAAAACTTTTATACTTGCTCATATTTGTTAGTTAAAAAATGAGTTGTTTATAAATTCTTACACATTTATTAAATAGATAAGTTATGTGAAAAATTCTCGCAAACTATATAAAGTGAACAGAGAAATGATTTCTATGAGGAAGTAGTCACTTTAGAAACTTGTTTTTTTTTTTTGCTTGTGATCGCTATGTTATTACTTAGTCCAAATGGCTTTTATTGTCACTAATATCAGTGAGCCTAATGCCGGTGTTTACAGTTTCAATGTCATCCAAATTAAATCCATCATCAGATTCTGAATCTTTTCTTTGAGTAGTGGAAATACCTTGAGATTCATTTAGCTTCAGTACCGGTGGCAGTTTTTCTCGAGGAAAATCAAGTTTTTGCCATGATCCAGCTTCTGCTTTTGGCATTGTTATCTCAACTTTTGTTCCAAACATGTGTGCACTAGTTTTATTTACATCAATGATCTGCAATTTATATTGTTTATTAGATATAATATTAATTTAATGTCGAAAAATTTACGCCGCGTAATTCTAGTTCCAAATCGAACTTCGCATCATTCTGCTCAGGAAATACAAGATTCACGTGAAGACGGATTGGATTTACTTCTATCTTGCTACTCTTATAATTATATTTCTTTGCATATATGGAAACAATAACGTTCGTTGGAGTCTGATGCCAATCATAACGGCAATTAACCACTTGCTTGTCTTCATCCTTAGAAAAACAAAAGTACTAAGAAAGATAGTTTTACTTTGAAGCATTAGCACTTACCTCTTTGAACCATTTATGTTCTCCAGATGTACAGCCCTTTTGTGCGATAAACACAGAAAAATCACTTGTCTTGCGTTGACAACATGACCAATACTTCATACCTTCGTGAAAAATCGGAACACCTGGATGATATACGCATTCTAAGTGATCAGTAGCTGTACCACTATATGAATGAGTGCAGCCTTTATTTTTACAACCAGTACCAATTGATACAGCGCTGAAATAATAAGTAAACGATAATTATATTATGATATTCAAGAAGCACATTTGTGTGTTGTATTTTTATGTGATCTTACCCTGAGGTTACTTCACTGTCTTCATTAGTTTTAACATTTTTCATTTTAATTGAATATATGGCATCTTTTAATGCTTGTGCAATTGTTGGTTTTATTAGAGTCATTGGAGTTTCAATAGGTGGGCGCCGCATTGCTTCTCTAATTGGGGTGCGCACTTCTACAAAAACATTCTTATCATCTCCATTCTTTTCTGGCTTTTCAGGTTCCGGTGGTTTGATATTCGAGTGCTTCGATAGAGTACATCCTTTAATGCTTAAAAATTCAGTAAAATCTACAGATTTTTTGTTGCAACATGACCAACCCTTGTAGGCGTCATGAAAATACGGGGCTCCAGGATGATGGCAACAAGATTCTGGGAGGAAACACATATTGTTTTTAATAAAAACTCTTTATTTTTATTGAATTCCAGAAAGTTCTTGTACAAATATTCACCATCGGTATTATTTTCAGGGTCAAATGTTTGCCCACAACCGCGATTATAACAACGTTCCATTATTGTGTATTTTTATTTTATAAAGCCGTTTTAATTTTAATTCATTAAAATTTAGAAGATAAAATTTGATATTTTTACTGAGTTTATTTTGCACACCAATTATTTTACCTCTGCATTTTATATTTCACAAAAGATGCAAATTTTATTATGAAGTTTCTAAACGTCAGTTTAGTAAATTTGCCCTTTAGTGATACCATATTGTTAAGTTATTTCTCGTAAACATAAAATGCTAGACCAATTATCGTCAAATGTTCAAAACTTGTCCCATAGATTATTGCGCTTACTAATTACGGTTAACTGATCCTTTATGCTCACTAATTACGGTTAACTGATCCTTTATGCTCACTTTTAGACCTTTCAGTTGTGCCAAAATGCCTTGATTTAGCTACGAAAGCAAACATAATAGGCAAATAAAGGTAATGATAATAATGCAATTAATAAACATACATGGAAGATGTTTTTAGCAGTATTCGTTGCTACCGAAGGCAGTAGGAAAATCCACCAGATCAAAACTATTCGTAGTGCCGTTGTCAAAGTTGAGCCTATTAAGCATCTAAATTAATTTCACAGTGAAAAACTTTCAAGCTTTTGGACATACAAAAAATTTAGTCGGTAAGCCATCGAGGGCTGTGAACTGTGTGGGCAAATTACTGAATGCAGCAAAACTAAAAAAGATCCTATTAATTGTTGTAACTGCGGCGATTCTTATCCTTCTACCGTGATTGTGTCGTTGCAAAAAAACTGCAAAAACTTAGAGAGAAAAATAATGGCAATTCAATTGAGGAGAATGCCAATGCCCCGATGATCAAACTTATTGTGAACACAGGTGAAGCAAAATTCCTTCCTTTCGCTTCTAAAGATACATTTGTGCAAATGGCTAAGCAAGGTCATACAAAGTCCCAAATTTTGGATATACTAAATAAGTAAGAGAAGCTATGGAATGCTAATGGTTCTTGTTCAAAAGTAATAAAAAGTTATTTAACACGACGGAAAGATTGGTATACATATATCTGTTGTCCGAACACGTTTTACGAACCATTCATTTTTAAAATTAAAAAAATATGAATTATGTATATCACAATCCACAACTGGCAAACTCAGCACGAGGAGGGAGCGCGATATTAATCACTGTGAGGAACAATTTTAGTTAAAGTGCACAAACACCCTCTTTATATTCATGCTCTGTATAGTCCACCTAGGTATAATATAAAAACAGATATGTGTGTATGTACCTAAGTGAATGTAGGTATGTAGGTAGGTAGGTAGAGTGGCTGTCTGACGACGCACCTAGGCCTATAGGAGGCCCATTGTGATACCACCGGGACTAATGTTCCCTCACTCTATTGTCTCCTCTCTGAACCAACCTGTGTTTCTGATGAACTGCATCAGTATAAATAGTTTTATGTGAGCAACTTCCGATACGTCGTCTAGGAACCTTCGACCGATAGTTGCGATTCTTTTCCTGTATAGAGCCTTACATTCTACAATAGTCATTGTAAGGTACATCTAGCCTGCTGGCATGTCTACCAATAAGACAATGATCTATTAGTACTCCTACAAGAGTTCCTATGAATTTCCTATTCCTTTTGAATTTTAATAGTCGGTTTGTGCGGTTCATGTTCCATTCCTGCCACGTTTGCATGCTAGTTGAGCAAGTCAGTGATTGACTCCACCGATACTCAGCTAGATTTATAACATGTTCGCTGATTAAATGTTTACAAGTTGGATCAAGACATTCTTTTACTATCTTTACTATCTTTGATGAAACCATAGGAGACTTCAGTGATTTTAAAGCCGCTTGGCTATCCGTATATATAAATATGCTCCTTGTTGTGAGCACATTTTTTGTCAGAACAAAAAAGCTTTCTTTCTCAAAAAGGCTGTGATCTCCGCTTGGAAGACACTGCAGTGGTCTGGTAACCGGACGGCGATTTTGATATCTAATTTTGCTGAAAAGATACCACCTCCCAATCGATTATCTAGTTTGGACCCATCAGTATAGATGCTAATCCCTGCATTTCTGTCCACCTCGTCCCTTTCCCACTCTTCTCTGGTAGGGGAGGCAATATTGGGGACCGAATTTAGTTTCAGTTCTATTGGATTACGAAAATCCGTGGTAGTGGGTAGAAACGGGACCTTACTAAGTATCTTAGTACCCCCTGTTGCAGGCTACTAATTGGGAGGATTCCGTCAGTCTGAGACCTGACTTCGCTGTCACCGCGTATTTCTTTTCCATTATTGGCCACCATACCAATATACCATATGTCATGATTGGTCTAACAACTACTGTGTAGTGCCAATAAGCTATCCGAGGCACTAGCCCCCCTTGGGCGCTAATTCGCCCTTACTTCGTGTTATTGGACAAGCCAACTCCAATGCTTGCCGGCAAGATTTCGTTGATCGTTTAACGAGGATGTCGAGGTCCTCCTTGCTTTACATTGTTCCAGCTTTCCGATGATTCCTGAAGTTATTGCCTCTATCTGCCATTTCCTCAATTATACATTTAATATATCTTTGATCCGAAAAGGAGTGTTCTTCGAGAACTCTCCATTGGGTTACCCTGTTAAGCAGTTCTTCCGACACATGTGTGATATCTAGCACTTTTTGTCAGTTTCTTGTGATTAACGTTGGCGTACTACCTTTATTACACAACAGAAGCTTAGTGCGTAGTAAGTAATTAAAGAGACACTCACCTCTATCATTGACATCTGTGTTGCCCCAGATATAGAGTATAGTCATGCACTTGGATGCCTCGCTATCCTGTACCAACTCTTTTACCAGCAGAGAGGCACATGCTCCTCGTCGTATGGCATATAACAGGACACCAGCCGGTAATTGCTTGCGCTCGTTTCCCAGCGTAGCTGCTGTGTCATGGTTGCTATAACGATATAACATAAAAACGTTAAGGCTTTTGTTTGCCATTATACATGCTCTGACCTTACCTTCACAATTAGCCATAAAGAGCTTGTAGTTTGGTGTCATCAATCCGCAAATACGCCCTCCATTAACCCATGGCTCCTGAATGAGGACAAACTCAGGCTGTTCTATTGCCACGCGGTTAATTAGGGCTACTGAAGCTATTTGCTGTGATGGAGATTAATTTGTAGAAGACGCATTAACTATTGTTATATCTGCGTCTTCCTGAGAATCGCTTAAAGCTCTCTCTCCGTATAAAGGTTTGAAAGTCTGAGGAGCAAGCTCAAACCCGGAAGAACACTCACCTTACTCTTAACTTTCCACATCGCTCGAGGACTCCATAGGATCATAGATGGTCTACAGCATCGGCGTCCGACTTGTAGGGTGTGATCCTCACTTTCGTGAATCCATAACTGATATCCCCGCCATTTTTCACCAGCGGTTCAATGGATTCCTTTGTTAGTAACAGCAGAATCTGCATCGTGGTCTTTTTGGTCTCCACGCCACATTCCGCTACAGGGTCCTCGAAGGCTTTGACAAATTTCCATAGGCAGACTCGGATTTCAGGCTCATATGAGCTGCATAATCTGGTGCGACTATGATTGGGTACTTAACTCCGGGATTTCCCTACCTTGGCCATAGCAACTTTATATAGTGCGACAGATCTCTCGTCGTCGCACGCAATCATTTTGATTTGGCCCTGGTACTAGTCGGCATATGTGCAGGATGTTGGCGGACCCGGATTGTTAAGTAGCACCTCCAGCGGGGACGGATTCATGTAATGTATGAATTTATAATTTAAATTTAAAAAATGCTGTAAATGTATGAATTTATAAAAAAATATGACGGAAGGTACATCATGGGTGGCGACTTTAACGCAAAGCACACTCATTGGGGATCTCGTTTAACTACAACCAAGGTCGAGAACTTCTCAAAGCTATACAAGCAGTTGGATGCAATATTGCTGCTACAAGTAGACCCACTTATAATATACCGTAGGAAATTGCCAGATCTTCTTGACTTCTTTATAATTAATAAACTACCGAAAATTAATTTAAGTATTAAAGACAGCTCTGACCATTCACCAGTGTTACTAACTCTGTATAAAACCAATAATTTCATGACTACGTTATGTAATAAACATACTAATTGGTTTAAATTTAAGCGTATACCGAATAAAGTCGACTGAAAGCTTAAGCACATAACGGCGGTTGTTGATTTGGACTGTAAAATTGAATATTTCACAAAAATAATGCAAAATACTGCGTGGAATAGTATACCACATATTCGCGCGAATCTAAGTGCAAACAAATATCCAAAATATATTAACTGTGAAAATAGTTGGTTGGAGCCACACATCAGCAATTCTCCTGTTACTAGTGAAAAAATAAAAAATCTTATCGGGAACACAAGGCTAATAAAAGCACCTGGGTTCGATTTATTAACCGGAGAAATATTACGCAATTTAACAAAGGATTGTATAAAGAAACTCGTAAACATTATAAACAGTGCATTAAGCCTAAGATACGTCTAATCGCTTTGGAAAGTATCTGAAGTCATAATGATACCTCAGCCGGGTAAACCATTACACGATGTTATTTCATATAGGCCCATATCGCTGCTGCCAGCTTTATCTAAAATCTTTGACAATGTACTCATAAATAGGCTCAAGCCAATAATAGAATGTAAACACCTCATACCAGCACATCAATTTGAAATTCCTGACCACCATTCAACAATTGACCAGGTGCACCGGATTTTTAATTTCGTTGAAAATACAATGGATAAAAATAACGGTTGTATGGCGGCCTTCTTCGACGTGTCTCAAGCTTTTGACAAAGTTTGCAGGTCTGCTGCTCGAATTGAAAGGCATGTTACCCAAACCCTATTGCGAAATAATTGTTTCCTACTTAAAAAATAGATACTTCCTCATTAAAAAGAGAATGCATACTCAAATTTGCAGCCGACTGCTCTCAGTTATAGAGGTCAGAGTGAGAAAAACGATCTCGATCATTATGGAGATTTTTGCTTCTCACTAATAGAGGTTTTTGAGATTTCAGAGTTTTCTCGCTTACCCAGTTTTCTCTTAATCAGGTTTGACTGTATATACTATACGAGGTGTGTTATAAGGAAAAGGTGAATTTTGAATTTGTTTGAAAAGTTCTTATTTATTCATCAATATCTATTTTGTCCTCATCAAATTAAGCCCCCATGGATATAATATATTTGTGCCAACGCTTTTTCTAATCCTCGAAGAACTTCTGGAATGCTCTTTCTTCGATTCTGACTTGATCTTATCAATAGTGTCATAACGTTCCCTTTCATTGGTTTCTTTAGTTTTTGGAATAGGAAAAAGTCGCAAGGAGCCAAATCTGGTGAACATGGTGGTTGAGGCATGATTACAGTTTTGTTTTTCTCTCTCCTGAGCGATACTAATCCGACATTGCTTTGGTCAAAATTTAGCAATTTCGGAACAAACTGCGCTGCCTCATCATGCCCAAAACACTCGAGAAAATTGAATGGCATGAGCCAATATCACGAGAAGACCGTACCATCGAGATCGGTATGTCGTATTCAAGATACAATCGCGGCTGTTGCGTAGTCAATTCAGGCAAATCCAAGAGTTCCGACTAGCAACTTATGGGCACAACTTGGAGTTAGCAGATGGTCATTACAACGAATAATTCGTGATGACTTAAACCTGTTTTCGTACATCAAAACGGAAATGCAAGCAAGCAAAATTGCCGTATATAGAGCGAATCAGATCCAGACCGGTTATTGCGGAGGTCCAACGAAAATTTTAAAACAAATTAATATCAAGAAACTCCACCTTCCGCTGGCCACTACCTGACTGCACCAAACTTTTTTTATGGGATTATATCAAGCAAAAGGTGTACAAAACAAAATCCAGAAATTTCATTAATCTATAATTAAGACAGTCTCGACTTCAACCTTTCAGACCGCAATGAATAATTTTCTAATTAGGTGTCGCATATGCCTGGCTGAGCATGGAGGTCATTTACAGTTCATAA